TTAAAACTTTGGCTTATTTGTCACTGTGTTTTTACAAAACAACTAGGTAATTTGCAGCCATGAACAGTGGTATTGAATATACAAGATCCAATTTCATCCAGCCAAGCTATGATAAGAGCTGCAGATTGTTACAGAATGAACACGGCTTTAGGCAAAGCTGAGCTTGAATAGGTTAGAAAAGCTACCAAATGAAACATCTAAGGGCATATAAAAATTATGCTAAGTCAAGCACCAACCAAGCATCCAAACCTGACAATCTGTAGTCAGTGTTAACTGTTCTAATCTCTGCATGCTGATCTACAAAACAAAGTATTATCCTGAGAGATGGAAAAGCCATCAGATTTATTACTACAGCTATTAGTCTTGGTGCATTAAAAGGTAGTCTACCAGTGTTACTTGTTAAACTTTTTTGAGAATTTCTATCACTGCACTCACAGCACCACCTAGTGACTAGAGAGTATTATGAACTTTGCTGCAAAAGCTGTAATAGATACCACAATCTGCAAAGGTAAAGGAATCCAGAATGTGACCTGATTTGTACAGAATGTCAATTCATGGATTAAACAACCCATGAATTAGCAAAGTTGCAAGGGAGTGAGCAAACACATGGACTCCTGTCCACTCACTACCTCCACTTTGCATTCACTTTGTTAAACCCAAGAAAAATGAAAACTCCCAGAATTTTAACCCAACAATGAATTATGGGTTGTGTAACCCTCAACAAGCCAGAATGCCAGGTTTGACCTGTTTAATTTCCAAGTTTCCTGGAAAGTAAAACCCAGAAATGCCTTGCAGAATGATGTAAACAGATGCAAAACTAGTGAGCAGGAGGGAGGCTTGGCCCCAACAACCCATGGTTTAAACAACCCACTATCAAGGTCTACAGAGAAAAAGTGAATGCAGAGTACTAAGCACAGAAAAACTGGACAGTGTAATAGATTGCTACTGCCAACTAAAAACTTAGGGCTTCAGAAGTCAAGCAAGAACATTTACAAATCCTTTCCTGTTTGGGTTTCAAAAAATGCTTTCTAACATGTACAAGGAGGAAAATTAACAGGTGTTCTCTGATCCAATGATATTATGAAAAATATTATGGAAAACACTTATATAACCACCATGCAATTTGCATTTGCCTGGGCTAAGTATCAATTTTCACCTGTGCATACCCTCCATGCAAATTAAGTGGCAAACTGCACCTGGCCACTGTTCTGCCCGCACAGTTGAAAGCTACTTTTTGGCCTGGAAAATCCAGGCCATTGATTTCCTGCTCTCTCTTTTGGCCTTAAAGAGATAGGTGAAGCACTAAGAATATGCAACCTATGTTGCCCCACTGTCCTGTCAGAGCAGCCAGTGCCACATGCACACAATACTTCACCCATCCACTGTAAAATGCCAAGGGGCAACACAATGAATGTACCTGTTTGTTTTCATGAGGGCTGCATCTGAAACTGAGAAAACTGCTATTTCAGCCAAAAGAAATGAAAACAAGTATTTTGGCCAAAAAAGCAATGGTGCCGTGCTGAGAAAAAGCCCCAATTACAAGGCCTCCAAAAAGCAAGATGAAATTTACAATTCATCATATCTATTCTCATTTACATAATCTCCATCCTGTACACTAGGGGTGCTTCACCTGCAGACCTCCGGGACCTTTACTGTAACCTGCCTCACCCTGGCTGTCCTATCCTCCAACCACCACCATCCAATTCCCCCAGGCCAGTAATTTCCCTGTTGTTTGTACTCCATCCCTGAGAGATCTTCATACAGATCACTCTTGCCCTACCACTACCAGCAGCAAGAAAAAAGTATATCAGATTTACTTGTGTGTGCATTGATAAAGTTCTCAATTCTAAATAAGTTATGTATCAAGCCCTTGTTTAAATTCATAGCATACCAAGAGTGCCTGATGATGCTACATGGTTGGGTAAATGCCCAAGACAATGCTAAAGTATTATTTAAAAAGAACAAAAAATACACAAATTCTTTCTAAAGCAAACACTGCCATATTCTATTGGGAACATGGGAAAAAAGAGAGGAAGAGAAGAGAATCAGGCATACCTGCCACAGTGTGTTTTTCTTTGGAGACTCATCTTCATTTTGATCCTCCATTACTGATGTGTTCTAAAGAGTAGAAACATACACTGATTTTTCTTCTGCATATATTTTAAAATGTTGCACCAATTTTGTAAAGCAAGCCCCAAAATTATACCAATTTTAATAATTATAGGATATACAAAGTTACTGAGTTGCTGACACCCAGCTAGTCATATTCAGCATGAATAGATAGACTCAACAGTAAACCAAAGAGTATGGAACAAAGAGCTATGGAATTTCTTTGATGACTTGTCATCTGTTTTCTGAGTTACATTCGATTTAGACTGGATTTCTAAGGACCAGGAGGAAATTGTTCAGTTTCCATTTTAATGCAAACAGACCTAACTTCACTCTCTAAATTAATGCATGCAATAATCCTTCACTTTCTCTGAATTTTGAGTACAGTCCTCTAAGGGGGGGTGGGGGATAAAATGCATATATAATTAGAAGTGCCTACAAACATATATGCGTTTTGTATGCATTTCTCCCATTGCCTATGAAAGAAGCTAAAGTCACACCAACGTTCATAACATGGGGGAAGTATGGGTGAATTTTCATGAGGATATTTATTAAAAAGTGAAAATTGATGATGGAATAAACCAGTGTTTGAAACTTGTAGAAAATGAAACTTACAGACTGTTCCACCCTTGCAGATTTCTCATTCAAGAGGTCTGGACTGAAAAACCATAAGACTTCCCTCTTATTAAAACAAAGGCCTTTTAAAAAAATCTAATACTATAATTTGTAGTAATAAAGCTACTGAACTTTGAACTTGTGGCTTTATAGTACTGTCTCATTTATGCAGACCTTTCCCACATTCCAGATTTAAAATTCACTCTTACATTTCAGGCTACACGCTTCACACGTGACCATCTAAAAGCAAAGTAACTACTACACATATTCATTGAAAATGTGATTAATGACATATACTGTTGGTCCTTAAGAAGGTTTTCAATTAGAATCAGTTCTAAATGGAGATCACTTTCCACCACATTCCCTCCCCTTCACAACTATGTGAACAAAGGTGTCACATCTTCATAGAGCTGCAAAAAATAAAACTAGCCTGCTGAGGAAAGTCAGTGTTATTGCCATACGAACACAAGATACTCACACAAAGCTAATGAACATGGTTGAGTGCATCTTGCAATCCTCCTCCTCTTCCTCCCCACCACACCCTGCTTCCTGCATTCAATGCAAGCCAGATTCTGCAAAGCTGAACTATGAAACATATCCCTCAGGTAAATAAAGCAACACTGCTGTTACCTGCTTAACACATCACTTTTTATGTATCAGTGATGAGGAAAGGCAAGCAGCTACATAAGGCATTAAAACTCTACCACCTGTTCACCAGAACTTTTATGATTTTGTCAAAATTACCCACACCATTTCAAATCCATCCTCAGCATCACTTGCTTGCTGTGGTGGGCAGGTAACTAACAAAAGGTTGGAAGACTAGAACCTCTTAAGCCCTTTATGCCACATGAGTTCAGTCCTCTGTTTAGGCTGACATACTGTTCACTTCTAGGATGACGTTGCTACTATGGTTGACAGTTTCTCACAGTTCCCCAGGAACTTTACAAAGGTGTTTTTCCATCTGGAAAGCTTCTAGCTTGAATGATTCAGAAATACCATGTGTATAAACTCTTGTTTATGTGGTTTGCCCTTGTACTCTGCTTCATTTTATGCTTGGGACTACTCATGGCAAGACAACTATGTAGGCATCAATGGAGTTAGCCTTAAGAGCTAGTAGAAGTCTAAGTTTGAGAGGTTTGAGCTCTGACAAAGCATATGCTTTGTATGAAGAAGGCTCATGCTTCAATCTCTGACTTCTCTGGGTAAGAAAATTCCTGCCTGAAATCCTGGAGAGCTGCGGCCAGTCAGTATTGACAATACTGGGTTAGACAGACCAATAGGTTACTCAGGATATGGCAGATTCCTTAGGTGCCTGCAAGATGGGACATTCTCTTCCACCAAGTGACATTGAGCAGAATAGTGAACCATGGCTGCCAGTGATGTATGCTTTGCTCCACTAAGCTGTGTACAGCAGAGACTACTGGTAACATGCTGTCAGTCTTACATGTGCATTGTTCCTGGCTCCACAGTTCTTTCTAGGGAGTTTTTGGTTTTGAGTTTTTTGAGGAACCCAAAATATAATTAGGTAGTAAGTACACATTTGCCTTCTGAGCAAATTCCACTGTGTGACTGGAAGCTGAAAAGTAACCAAACTCCTGTACTAATGCCTCCTTTGTGGCCAGAACTGAGGTCATGCCCACAACTTCAATTGTCCTTCAAGAATGGCTTAACAAGCTGACTGCAAATAGACTAGCTTAGTTAAAACAAGGGGAGATTGTCTTTCTTTTGCAGAGCGGCCGAGCTCCCAATACCAATGCCTGAGAAACTGACAGAAGGTTCTCCATCAGGAATTGCTGCAGCATATACTAGAGTACTAAGCATAGCAGAAACCTTCTAGACAGGTAAGATGGACCAACACTACAAACCAGTCTCCATGGGAAAGTGAGCCCTTTATTTTGATCACTCAGACCAAACTTCCCAGCATCAGGGAGATGTTACAAGGGGGCTCCATTTTGTCCTCACACTTATTGTCATGTCTCACCATCACCTTTTCTTCTCTGTAACAACTAGTTGCCAAGAGCTGGCTATCTAGGATACGCTGTGTCACCATCCTCTATTGGCATAAAGAGGAGAGTATTCTGTCCACCCCCCCCCCCACACTCACACACACCTTGAATGAACGAGCTCTTCGATATACAAAAGCCAAAGACCCCCACATCCAACAGGCCATCTTTATGTTCATTGACTGACTCCTGAGAGGTCTGACTGAGTTTTGCTATTTTCCAAACATCAAAATATACCCAATCCAGTGCCTAATACTCTCTTTTCAGAAAAGTGCAGACAACTGACCACTGCTTTTCTTCCCCTACAAAATCCCCTTTCAGTTGTCAGTCTAACCAAACACATACTTCACCACTCTTCAAGCATATTTTTTCCTCCATGCATAGCTGTGTTTTTTTGTTCTCATTCTCTGTCTGCTGCTTCCATGCTGGAAAATGGTCAGGCTGGATCTTATGCCGCACATGACCTCTCTTCCTAGCTGGACAGAGTTGTGCTTGATGTGAGTTTATGTATGTATGCATTTATTTATTTAACTTTTATGCTGCCCCATAGCTGAAACTCTCTGGGCAGTGAACAAGAATAATGACATTTACAAAAAATGTAATATAGGTTAAAGAAATAAAACATCATGAAATTACTTTTTAAAATTAAAACCGTATCTAAAATCACATTTTTATAACTAAGCAACTAAAACCAGATCATATTGGCAAGGCCTGCAGAAAAACAGCCGACAATACCCCCAGCTTTCCAGCCAGCTCTGCTCTGCAGTCAGGCAGCACAGCTGAGATCCCTAGTTACTTCATAATGACCCCATCATACTTTGCTGCTTTCTGCAGCAACCCAGACTCTCTGTCTGCAGTCTGAGTGGCCTTCATAGGAGAAAAAGAAACTTCTCTGGGTACTGGTAGTGCTTTTTCACCAGGAAGGCTCCTACTTCCTGCAGGGCAGCCATGAGGGCTACCTTAAAGATCTGGCTCTTGAACTCTAGCTTCTGCCATGTCAGACAGCTTCTTAGCATGTTAGCCTTCTCTCCTTGGGGAAGGCATGAGAAACTGTTGCTGCTGTTCAACATATCATGACCACTCCTTGACTCTTGCCTGCAATTAAAAGGGGGTGTTTCAGGATAGTAAAGGAACTACTTCTACTGCTCCTTAGTGGGCAAAATTGGGAAGCAGAAGGGGACACTTGGCACATTTTCTGCTCTGTTCAATTCCCAAGCACTCTTGGTCTTATGAGAACAACTGGCAATGGATCCCATTGGGGTAGTTTGTGTGGGGTGTCGTTGCTGCTCATCTGTGTCCTGCAGAAAGCATAGCTAGATCGCGGGTTGTACTCAACATGCTGAATGCAACCTGATAGTTGAAGCAGAGTAGCATGATTCAAAAATGTGGCACACCTCTTGTCAGTCTCCTCTCTTACTCCCCCAAAGCATGCACTCTGAGTTTTGATTTAAAAAAAAAATGGATTTATAAATAGGGTAGCGTATTAACCTTGAATAAGTTAACTATTATATTAGATGAATTCTGAATATGTGAATTTTAAGTGGGAAAGGTAGTATTGATAATTTAAAGAGTTAAAGAATTAAGTCTTTAAAAGGATGGGTAAAGATAATACGGGTATAGAGGCAATGGAAAGTAGACACTTAGAGCAGAGCTGACCAGTTGTTTCTCCCCCTCCCTTTTTCTGCAAAGGTAGAGGTAAAGCCCAGGATAATGACATTCTGGGGGAAGAGGGGGGAAGGCAATCTTTTTGGAAGTGTGGGGTTTTTGGAAGTGGGGAATAAAGAGGGTTAATATTCTTTTTGGCTTGGGGGGGGGTGGTTGTTGTTTGTGTATATTTATGGGGGTGCACAAAGGACCAACAAGGATATGTGTTCTAAATTTGAAATGGTTAAAATTGTAAGAGTATCATCTTTGAATGTTAAAGGCTTGGGGAAGTAATTAAAAGGGGGGAAATGAAGCTATAATAAATAAAGATAAAGCAGATATTGTATTTTTGCAAGAGACATATCAAAAAAGGAGAAGGTTAATGAGTTAAAGGTATCATGGTCGAATATTTATGAGAAAGCATACGGGAGTTCTAACTCAAGGGGAATGGCAATTATTATATTTGAAAAACCTGAAATTAAAAGAAACAAAACAGAAAAGATGAAAAGGGTAGTTTTTTTATATTGCAGGGAGAACTGAGAGAACCTTAATTAATATTTATTCACTGAATGAAAATCAGATGGCCTTTTTCAAAAAAGTAACTAAAGAGTTGGAAGATATAAGAAACCGAACACTTCAATTGGTGCAAAATAGAGCTGCCAGGTTGCTGACGGGGACGGGGCGTTATGCTCACATGACTCCAGTCCTCCGTCAGCTTCACTGGCTTCCCATTGAAGCCCGGGCCCA